CACAAAAATATCTTCCTCCTCTTCTGAAAGTCAACAATGTTCCCTAGTGCCCCTTCCCACCCCCTAAAAAACACTAAGCGAAAGGAGGTGGTCCAAGGAGGTGGTGGTCCACCAACCACCTCCACTCTGAGAGTAATTATTTGTACAGCAAGTCTACCTTCACATTGGAGACCAGGCCCCTGTAGTAAAATCCGTAAGCAAGAGTTTAAGACTCTCCTGGTGATGTCCCGAAGTGTGTGAGTGGTGGGAGGAAGGGGGGAAGGGGGGAAGGGGAAAGTCCATGTCCATGGGATTTCTTTGGAGCAATGAATATAAATATTATTTTCTATTAATAAAACACTCTACTTTTAATTAGCAGTTTTCTCTCTATACCTCTACGAATTCCACTTAATAGGAGCACCAGCACAAAATTTACCATTATACCATTCCATCAAAATTAGGGTGCTAAGTAGCGGAAGACCCAACAAGATACCCAGAGGTGGGTTTTGGACACAGAACAATGGGCGGCTCCCATGGTGGCACCAGAAATCAGCCTCCATTACCTCTCTGTTCCGCGGTCCTCACACCGGGGCCACTCAGTCCCAACCAAGGTGGTGGCGGAGACTCTAGGCAAGGCTGCCAGACACCACAGAAGAGCGAAGAGCCTTTTCTCTGAGACTCCTCGCAGAATAGTCTCAGAAAGAACGAAAGGAACCCTTTCCCCAAGCCCCCACCAGCCCTTCCACCGTGTCTCACCAGCAAGAACTGCGCTACCTCCTCATTCTTAAACTAGTTCCCAGCCCTGGAAACAGATTTACCACAACTGAGTCGGAGTTCGGTGATTCTCAACCATGACTGCACGTGTTTCTAACAGCTTCCCACGTGATTCCATGATTGCGAACCCCTGAGTTAGAATGGACCCTTACCCACTTTTCCCTGAGTTCCCTGGCAAAAGGTGCAGATCCTTGAACAAAATGTGGATTGTCAGAAAGAGGAAAAAAAAAATGTTGGCCCACCAAACAGCATCTACACAACCACTTACACCTGGATTTTCAACCCATTGCCACACCCGTCTAGGCAACCCGAAAGGCTTTCTGTAGCCGTCCCTTTTACAAAGAAGGAAACTGAGGCTCCAGTTTACAAAGTGAAATTCTTTTTAAGTCTTCCAAATTTCCCTGTTTCAATGCAACAGCAACTTGAGGAATTTCTCCTAAAAGGAATGACCATGTGAACCATTTCTCAGAAACAATAAACATAATAAGAGCAAAAGGGAACTTTGATGTTGTCCTGAGAAAAACAAAGCAAAATCATTAAATAGCAAAGCCTTAAAAAGCACAAAAACCAAGACATGGGTGACTTAAACACTAGTCCTGGCTGCCATGAACACCCTTCTTCATGTGTGTGATCAGAGCGGGCTCACACACGAAGGCACCTCCAGCTTGTCTCTCTCTAACAGACACACACGCACACACAGCTAGACCACCTACATGTATCGTATGGAAGAGCATTTTATATACCCATGGAAGGGCTTTAAAACTAAGTATTTCCCACTAGCATAGACTACGTTCAGGAAGGCCCAATATAAAATGTATGAGAAAAGCATATTCGGCTTATTGGTCTTTCTGGCAAACGCACTCCAGGTTTCTACAAACCCCAAACATCTGAAACTGCATGGACATTAGGTGCGAAGCTCACAAAGGTTTCAACTGCACTGAAAGAGGACACTGGTTATTCTAGGAAAGGCAAGGGGTGGGGGAAAAGGACTAAAACGCCATGTAAACAAAGACTCCATTGAACTGAGTGAATGATCCCCAACTCTTCTCTCCGGAGCTCCCCTTGCCCCCGCTGCCATCTGCACCCCACACAGATGTGCACCCCACCTCTCGGCCACCTCTTCCCCACCAGGTCTGGCTTCTGCTAAAAAATCTCCAGCGATTCTCCAGAGGATAAAGTCCCACTCCCAACCGCGTTTTTGTGGACCTCCATAATCTGAGTCTGACCTCCCCACTCATCCCATTGTACTCCCCAAAAGGAAATCTCTACTCCGGCCCAACTGGTCTCCTCACCGTCCTCGAACACTGTGTGTTCTGGTCTCTCCTCAGCAGCCTCCAATCTGACAAGGCTCCATTCCTGACTCAGAACAGCAAAGAGTTCCCCAAACTTCCAGCAAAACTTCTCCACTCCACCTACCACCAACTCTTGTTCCTGGCTGGACACTGAATTATTAACCTTTTACCACGTGTCTGTGTATCTCCTCTGTTTCTTTGAGAACTTGGCGCCATACAGAGAGGACATGTTCCCTAGATTAAACTTTATTCAACTTGAGGACAATGAACTCAAGTACCTCTTTTTTATCTCAGTCCCAATATTTAACAAATTGTAGGTGCTAAGTAGTTTCTGATTGCTACATAACCGAACTTGGCAGTACGCCTTAGGTCCCACAGAACGCCCTCCAGTTTCTTTAAATATCTACTCAATATTCGAAGCATCAAGGCAGTAAAAATTACACAAACCCAACAAGTGCGTAGTGCGTGCAGGAGATTTCTTACAGGGTGGCTAAAAACAGAAACCACTTAAACACACAATTCTGAAAATGCACAAACTGTCGTGCCTGAAAAAAAAAAAACAATGTAAAACACCTCAAACAGAAACAGTCTGTCCTCGTTGATGGTTATTCTTGCCGCAGCTCCCCCCTCCGCCTCATGTCCTTCCTGGACGTCTCGACTCCCAGATGTTATGGGAAGGCTCAACTGGTTAAGCAAATGATTGGCCCAGGCTGCGATTTCAGATGAACCACTCAGGCGATTTCCAAACACTGCAGAGCCCGACAAAATGCCTCTTTTAGAAGTAGGACAAGAGAAAATGGACACAAAAGAATTAAGTGACCTGCCCAGCCGTTATGTACCCAAGGCCCTAAAAGTGAGGGCCACTTAAACTCAGACGTCCTGACTTAAGTCCAGTGCTCTTCATCTTTTATAGGGAACTAGAAGTAAACTTTATGGAGCAAGCTGGGCAAAGGCAGTCTCTTCCTAACTTGACAAAAGCACATAGGCTAAAGTTGTGTTGTTATCATCTTCTGGTTAAAAAAAATTAAATTAATTAAGCATGATGACAAAAAGGATGCTTTCTGGGTCTTCTTAAGCATGATTATAAATTGTTTCTTATGGTAAAGGACAAGAATCAAAAGGAATATGATACCAATTTACAAATTCACGAAAGTCTACACTGTGGGGAGGAGGGTTGACAGCTGACCCCCTGATGCACTAGCTGCTGCTGGAACACCAGGCATGTGTCCTGTTTGGCAGAAGAGCTAATATGCAGTCACATAAATAGCTTCCTACCAGTGGCCAAACTGGCTTTGCCATCTGTCTCTCTCCACACCAAAGCCTCTATCCCATAGCACCCTAGCTCCAGAGGGAGCTGCTCCAACCAGTAAGAGAGAAGGTACACTCCCCCCAGCCAGTGACACTGATTAACACCAAGCTGCAGAAGAGTCCTCTTTTTCATGTGCACACACGCTGCCCTTCTCCTTGAGACTGCCTTTCTCCACTCGCTCCTACATATTGACAGCCTCTCCGTACCTCCCACCCAACACATACCCCATGCCAAGGCACTGGAGAGCCATCAACCAAATAAGCCCACTAGTCACATGTCCCAAACAAAGTGATTCCCAATGCTCATTTTGCAACATCAAAGAGGTCACAGAACCCAAAGGAACTTTGGACATTTTCCAGAGCAGCTGAGTGACTTGCTTCCAAAGTTACAAGGATGGCTCACTACATTCTTCTCATTAAACCTTATTCCAACTTACTCATTAAGTGAATGTTGACTGTCCCGGACACTGTGCTGGGGACTTGAAACAGTTTGTTCAGTATGTTTCATCTTCCCTACTGCAAAGGGGAGGGCGCGATGACATGAGGTATTTTTCCTAGAGGTGATGTCTACAAACAAACATACAAGGGTGGAGCTCCCAAGGCCGGAAATGGCTGAATTCAGAAACTAGGGAAAAGTTAAAGATCTTAACACAGATTTGCGCGGTTGAATACGGCCCCCCGCCACGATCTGCTGTAGGGGCAGGTCTTTGTAAGACAGAACAGGGAGCACACAGAAGCATCCTCAGAACGGACTCTGGGTCACAGGTGTGGTCAGGCTGCCCTGCTTCTCAGCGGAACTCATGCCTCCGCGTGAGCAGCAGCATCACCAACTCAGTGTTCCAGCACGAATTTCAGCCACCTCCTCCTAAAAAGACTCTTCTCGGATACTCAGACAGCTACGCACACACACACACACACACACACGCACGCACACACAATTTCTCCTGTGGCCACTTCATTTCCGAGTCTTTCAAAAGTCAGAAAAGAGCCAGGGAGGAAGGCATCCAACTTGACCGGGGTGGAATTCCCTATTTGCAGGCAGCGCTCCCTGGGGCCAGAGAGCAGCAGGCTGTCTGCGCGCCCTCGGAAGGCCAATCTTTGACCCTCCTCAGCGCAGCCTCCTCAGCGCAGGAGGAGGGAAGGAATGTGCAGAAAGCAGCCCGACGCCAGGTGGACTTTCTGGCTCAATACAGGGAAGGATCTGGGGTAAGAGTGGCCGGGAAGCTCAGAAATTGCCACGGGAATGGTGCAATTAAACATCCTGAAGTTTTTCAAAGAATCCTCAGTAAGATCACGAGACAAAACTGGGAAAACTGATGTTTCTGTTTGTAGGAGGCTGTGAGCTGCTTAAGGGAGCAGTAAAACCTGCCCTTGGGCGGTCCGGCGGGGAACGCAGGCACCGAAGGGCTGGGGGCCCAAGAACCGGTCTCCCACGCGTGGTTCTTGGCTCTGACCGCCGAACAGGGACGAGAGCGGGAAAGGGGGCTTTGGACCAGTTGCCTGGGAGCGGAGGAGACCCCAGGCTCTCCCAGACCCGAATGAATCTCAGTAACTCCGGCCGCTGGCCCCCGGCAAGGGACTGCCCACCCCCACCCCGCCCCAAGGAAAGGCTCCTCCCGGTCCCGAAGCGCCCAGGTCCCCGCTTACTTTTGGTGGCCGCGATGAGGTTCTTCCCATCCTTGATGAGCTCTTTGATGAACTTGTTCGTCCTCTCGAGCTCCGCTTCGTGGGCGCGGATCCTCTCCCTGAACCACGGACTGTCGAGGTAGCAGTCGCTGAACTCGAGGGGCTGCAGCCCCATGATTGCAGCCGTCCGCGCGCACAGCCCGCCGGCCGCCTCCGCGCGCGCCGCCGCCGCAGCCCGAGCCGAGCGCGGGGGCCGCGGCCGGGTGGAGACCGCGCGGGCAGGAAGTCCCGGGGAAGCTAGCAGCCGCGGGCGAGCGGCGAGCGCGGCGCGGACGTGCCCCTCGGAGCCGAGTCTGGCGGCACGAGCACCGGCGCCCCACTCCCCGCGGCCGGAGTCCCGAGCCCGCGGCCACGCCCCGCGCGGCCCCCGCGCCGACCGCCCTCCCCCCGGCGCGCGGCGGCCCCGCCCCGGGCGCCTCCCCGGCCCACCCCGCGCTGCCCCGCTCGCCCCCTTCTCTTCCTCCGCCTTCTTTCTTCCTCTCCTCCACTCCCTTCTCTTCCCTCCCGGGACGCCTCTTCCTTCTCTTCCCGACACGCAGTTGCCCCGCCTCTTCCTTCCGAGGCTCCCTCGCTCCCGAATTTCGTCTTTCGGCTCCCCTCCACCCCGGGGCGCGTGCCCTCCCGTTTTCTTCGACTCCCCTCCTCGGGGTGACTCACTCTCGGCTGCCGAAGACGAGGAACTCGACCGAGACAGGGCGGGGGAGTCTTCTGAGCGATCTCTGATCCCCGTTCGCAGGTCTGGCTGCTGGGCTGCGTGATTGACTCATCTCGTGTGTCCTGCAGCGGGCGGACGGTCAGCTGCGAGTGCGGAGTGCGCTCAGAGTAAAACGCATATTAAATCCACGGTTTAGACTGAAAGCCTTACAAAGGCCGGCGGCCCCCCTGGCATTCCGAGTCTCCACAATGGAAGACTTGGGAGGGACAGCGTACCTAAACCAACAAAAAGTTGCTTCTGTAGTATTCAGCAGGTTGCATTTGCTTGGGTGGGTAGAGGTCTTCATGGTTCTAAAAACAAACACCGGGAAACAAACGCCAGGTTCTGCGTGGTTTTCACACGGCGGGAATAGGGATCAGATGAGAGTTTGTCAGGGCACCTGGAAGAGTTACCTATTACGTGTGTTCCGAAACAAGAGTGTCCCTAAAGAAGTTAAGCCTTTTAAAATTACTGAGACTTATACCCAAAAAGCTATTGTTCATTAGAGTAACTTTTCACAATGGCAACTAACAATTTATGACCCGATTATTATGTGCCAGGAACACACTGGGAACTCCACAAACAATTTTTTACAAGCTTATGACATATGTTTACATAGACAGTTTTCCTGATAATGTTAATGTCACCAAGAAACTTCAAAGTGATTGTTTAAAACATTCAGTGTGGAAACGGTGTAATTAAGAATCTGTTTGGACAGCATGTTGTAGGAGTGTAACCCTCAGGACCAAGTTAAATAAGCCTCCTACTCAAAAAGCTCTTTTGTTACAAAACAGCAGGGTGAGTGCCTGACCCAAAGATAAACAGATAAACATTATAACTTTAATGTCCATCCTCCGAAGAGCCCAAAATGCTTTACAAATAACTTAGTTGTTGAAAGGTTCAGTCCCCTACTAAAATCAGCAGGGGGGCTAGAGTCTACAGGGAAAAAAATAAAAGCAGCAAATAACTGGAGATGGAGGGCCACATTCAAGAGTAGAAGGGATGTAAACAAACTGGATGAGGGCTTAGCAAAACAGCCCAACACTGACAGGCTGGCGGTCCCCTGAGCTACACCCTCACCCTTTCCTCATAAGGAAGGGCTACATATCCTCCAAGTGTTAAACACAGGGTTAACACCCCCACCAGCGACTCCACTCCCTAAGCAGATACCCAAGAGATTTGAAAACATGCAGACTCCACATTTGCTCATAGCAGCATTGTTCGTGACAGCCAAAAAGTGGAATCGGCCCAAATGTCCATTGGCTGGTGAATAGATGAACAAAACGTGTACATCCATACAATGGAGTATCGATCTACTGTAGAAGGAATGTAGTACTGATGCGTGCTGCAGCATCATGAATCCTGAAAACACGATGCTAAGTGAAAGGCCAGTCACAAAATACGGCCTATGTTATTCAATATGAAACACCCAGAGCAGGGAAATCTACGGAGACAGAAAGTAGATTAGTGGTTGCCAGGGGCTGGGGGGTGGTATAGAGGTAAAGCAAGGGGTTCCTCGGGGGATGATGAAAACAATTTAAGCTTAAATTTCGGTAATGGTCACATAACTGTGAATATACTGAATACACCCATTAGTTATGCCCTTTAAACAGGTCAGATGTTTTGGTATGTGAAATGTATGTCCATCCTGAAAGAGGGGCTGCCCCGGCCAGGGTGTTCAGGTGGTCAGAGTGGCATCCCCTTCACCACGGAGGCGGCAGGCTGGGTCCCTAGTCTGGGTGTGTGCCAGGGGTGGCCAGTCGATGTTTCTCTCTCTCTCTCTCTCTCAAATCAACAAAAACATATCCTTGAGTAAGGATTTCTTTTAAAAACTTTAAAAAATTAAAAAGAGGGGCTGATGCAGTTATGCTTCTCCTTCCTCACCACTCTGCACTCCCAGCCACAAACGCTTTGGCCAGTTTTTTTAAATATTTGGACAAAAACAAACTGCTTAAAACAATTTCACATTGCAGAAAACATCATTACTTGGGCCCTCCTTACACACACACACACATACCCAGTGTGAAACAGCAAGTGGATATGAACCTTAATATTGAATAAGTCCACTTTTGTAATCGCCAGGAGTGGAAGGGCCTAATTAGTTCCGTTTAATTCGATTACACCTTGTACTCGGCCCAGTAGAGATTATCAGTCACTGTGCAACGAAGGAGCAGTATGACCAAGTGAAGAGAAAGCTTCTGATACAGTGGAAAGATAGAAATTTAGGAGTGCCAAGTCAGTTTCACTACTTAATAGTCGTAGGACCTTAGCTAAGGTCCATTTTCTGTGACTCTCAGGCTTGCCGTCCATGAAGTGGAGATTGCAGCTACAGGCTGGGTAAGAAGCTTCAGTGAAACTGTGTTTGTAAAGCACCTGTTGAAAGTTACAACAATGATGAAGACAAGAAAAGGAGGAGGTTGGGGAGGGTGGGCTGAAGAGAACGAAGAGGGAAAGGGGAGGGATGAAGATCGCATTCTATCAGTACGGAATAGATTTGGGGGCCCGGGAAGCCTCCCCCTTAAACCGCAGCACTAAACCCTATAAGACAGAATTCAAGGAAAGTTATCCCCAAAGCAAATGCTACTAAGTGCCCAGGTCTCATCCCAAGTTCATTCAACAATTTATTCTTCCCACAAACATGTGTGTTTCCCTATGTCAACATCATGCTAGGGGCTGGTGATACGTCAGTAGACAGAACCAACCCTGTCTGTCCTCACAGCGCTTCTGATCTCTGGAGGGAGATTGACATTGTACTCTCCTCCAAAAAAATCATGCAAATATATGTATCTAATTTAAAATTAAAATGCCATGTAGTCAGAGTAAAGGGTGTGGGAGACCCGAAATAAACTGGGAATGCGGTGGATGAAGACTGAATAAGGAAGTCATTCCATCAGTGACCAGAAGAATCAAGAGGTATGACCATTGAATAGGGGGTGTGAGCAGAGCAATCCAGGCAGGGAACCAGCCCGTGCCAGCCCCTGGGATGGGAGAGAGTCCGGTAGCTGAAGAGGCTGAAAGACAAGGTCAGGGCGCTGCGGCACAGTCAGTGAGAGATGCTGGCTCAGGATAAGGCTGGGTGGCGGAGCGTGGGCAGGGGTCGGAGCTTGTGGCCCATCTGTCCTAATGCTATTGTGCTGAAACTTTAAGGAATTTTCAACACAGTGGTCATGTGATCTGGTTTGTGTCTTCTAGCTGCTGTGTGGAGAACAGGAATCCAGAAACAAGTTCTTTTGGAGTTGTCTGGGCAAGAAGTGGAACAGCTTCACCCTCCAAGTGCCAGCGGAGACAGAAAAACGGGCGGATCACAACACACTTTGGAGGCAGACCCTGGGACCTGACAGTGGCCTGGACACAGAAGTGACGAGAAAGGTGTCAAGGATGGGCCCCAGGCTCCTGACACGGTAAGTTAGGCAGATAGATGTGAACTTCAGTGAACATTCACTGAGAGGAATCCATGGGACAAGAACTCATGGAGGCCCTGGCCGGTGTGGCTCGGCTGGAGCATCATCCAGTAGACCAAAAGGTTGCAGGTTCAATCCCTGGTCAGGGCACGTAGGAGAAGGCAGCCAATGTTTCTCTCTCTCTCTCTCTCTCTCTCCCCGACAAAAAAATGTCCAGGTGAAGATTCAAAAAAAGGTTGACTCGGTGGTGGTGATGGGCAAGATGAGTTTGTTTCAGACTCATTGAGTCTGACGTACGTAACTGGCATTCAACCATGAACAGAGGACAGAAAGGCGTTTTTATGCTTCACTCGGGATGTGTTAAGGATTCGAATCAATGAAAGTTGGTCAGGTTCCAATCTTGATAAAAGAGGTTAACTCAGATGAAACCTTCCCTCTCTGTAGATTCTGCTGCATGTGAGATTGTCTTTCCCTGATGAGTCACAAAGTTGCTAGTTATCTAAAGTCAAATGTGGGCTGTACTGAATCTTTGGGTATGTTTCAAGCTGTGAGTCAGTTAGAATTACGTTCAGACACATGGTAACAGGAAATCCAAAATGACAGTGTTTTCAACCGTAAGGTTCTTTCTTTCACGTCAAACAAGTCCAGAAGTAAACAGTCTACCGTGACTCCACGGTCCCCAGGGGAGCCCTAGTGTCCTTCGTCAGTGTCACCTCCTGGTACGGGTCTACTGGTGAGTCCTCCTGGGAAGGAAGAAGGAAAATGAGAACAGGGGCCCCTTTCCACTGAGTCAGCGCCTTTCTCAGCCTCCCTGCAGGTATTAGACAACAGGTTTGCTTTTCATCTCATTGGCCAGAACTTATTCGCATGCCCACACTCTTCAGTACAAGAGAAAATGGTGGTCTTTTATCCAGGTATATCGCCACCCTAAATAAAACCTGGATTTTCTCACAAAGAGAAAAAGGACAAGAGATTTTGAGCAGGAACCTAGCAATCTCTGCTGCAGGCACAGTGAGTGAGCTGCATAAATTATAGCTGTGGCAAAACGTAAATGATATAATGAGAATATAAGATAAATCTTTGGGTGTCTTCCAAGGTATTATTAGGCTGCTTTCTCTCTCTCAAGCATTAAGGTGTGGGGGCAGGGGCCGGGACGCCAAAACAGTTTAAAGAAAACCTGAGTGGACCACATCACTGAAAACCTGCCTGGAGAGGTACAGCAGGCTTCTGAAGACTTTTGCTGCTCCATTCAGTTCTTCATTCAGTTCTCCATGACGCTCTCATCTACTCCTTTGTTGGTATTGACTTCAGCCTCCAGAGAGCTACCTATATGAGGACCGCATGGCCTCAATACTTCCAGACTTCCCTATAAACGATTTCCCTTCCTGAGCTAAAAAAGATGCCCCCTGTAACTGCTCCGATCCGGACATCAAACAGTTTAGAAGACTGCCAAGCCCTCACGCACTGAGACCTGGAAGAGTGTCTCTCAGCTGATCACTGAGACAAAGGCAGGGTTAATGCCAAGCAGCACCAGCCACTCAGGGGCCACTCTTTGAGTGAGGGGCGGGGGGAAGGTTGATCCACCAAGACAGGAGGATGCAGTATAACAAGTTTGTGAATTAGTAATCTATAAAATAAAATGGCGGTAGTTGTACAACAATGTGAATACACTGTACTATACACTTAAAATAGCTAAAAGGGCCCCTGACTGGTGTAGCTCAGTTGGTGGGAGCACCATCCAGCAAACTGGAGGGCTGCAGGTTCAATTCCCTGTCAGGGAACATGCCTAGGTTGCAGGTTTGGTCCTGGTTGGGGTGCACTGGTCCCTGTTTTTCTCTCACATCGATGTTTCTCTCCCTTATACTCTCCCTTCCTCTCTCTCTAGAATTTAAAAAAAATAGTTAAAATGGTAACTTTTATGTCATGTGTATTTGCCACAATAAAAAAGAAACAAAAAAGTTGAATGAAGGAAAAACGAAAGATCCCCCACTATGCACGCATATAGCACCACTACTAGCAGTTTACAGCGCGTCTTTTCTTAAGGTATCACAGAATAGTAACTGTCCAAATGTGTTTGACACTTTCATTACATCACTATCACTCAAATACTTGTTTCCTGCACAGAACGCCTACTGAGACTTCCGGAACCAGCAGTCTGGGTGATGCCCTCATCCTACGCTGAGCACTACGCTGCACGAGCTCTGCGGAGAGTCCAGGCAGGACCTGTTTGCGAGCTACTTCTACGTGTCAGAGTGACTGGGCTAAGGGATGCCCAAAGAGCCGGCAAACGTCATCCCGGGCTGTGTCTGCTGAGGGTGTTTCTGGAAGAGAGTAATGTATGAATCAACAGACTGGACAAAGAAGGTCATCCTCACCATTGCAAGTGGGCCTGGTGCAGTTCACGGAGGCCTGAGTAGAGCAGAAGGTGGGGGAAGGGCAAATGCCCTCTCTCCTGGAGCTGGGACAGCAGCGATCTTCTCCCGCCCTCAGGCATTGGTGCTTCCCGATCTCCAGCTGCACACCACCAGCCTTCCTGGTTCCCCAGCTTACACATGGCAGATCATGGCACATCTTGGCCTTGTAATTCCATGTGACAATTTCTACAGTAAATATCAATCTCAGTCTCTCTCTCTCTCACACACACACTCACACACATTCCTGTCCGCATGAAGTAACAGTCTCCAGTCGGACAGAATAGATAAAATAATTACAAATCCAAATATTAAGAGAAAACTCTGGCTCTTTCCCGGCTGTGGAGCCAATGCATTCAAGATTCAGCTCCACACGAGACCCACAGGTAGCTGTGGCCGAGGCAGACATCACAGCTGGATGTAAATGGAGGTCCATTCTGCTCCACAGGAGGGGTTGAAGACCGCTCTTATCCGTGAGGGCCTAGCACGTACAGTTCAAGAAACAGCCGGGCTGCTGGCTGGGTGCTTGCGCCCATGGGCCCGTTGGATTGGTGGAGGCCCTTTGTGCTGAACACCAAATAGCCTAACTAAGGTTGGTGACAACCAGAAACCAGAGGAATGGGTGGGCCTCTGTAAAACCGACAGAGAGGGAAAACCTGGAAAGTGTCTGTTTGCAGTTGTGTGGTGGTTAACAGCTGTAGCAAAACGTCTCAGGCCGAGGGTGGCATTGAAGCGCACTCCAATCCAAGAAGTGAACAAGGAAAAATCTCGTCTCCGATTCTGAAAAAAAAAAGAAAGAAGGAAAACACTCTGGTAAATTCTAGGAAAGAGCTGTATGTTCCTGGTGCTCTAACAACAGAACTGGGCCTATTCTGAGGAATTGGCAAGTCAGCCAAGACCTGCAGGATGAGGAGTTGGTGGGTAGAAATAAGGTACATGTGAGGTGGAGAGGGGAGAGACGTGCAGAGGGAGCTTTGCTGGAAAACTAGCACAGGAACTTGGAAAAGGCCACGTGGCTGGAGTGCCACGGGCCCTCCACGCAGCCCACGCAGAGGGGGTGAGGTCTAGCCCATCTGCTCCTGCACCAGGCTCGCGTCTGTCCTCGAAAACACTGCACTGGGGTTTCAGAACTCCTCCTCCAGGGTCCCCTGGTTGCTTCTAGGGAGGGTGCACCTTTTCCAGCAACCCTGGACATCGTAACCTCTGAGTTGGAGACCCCAAAGAAGTCCTGGAACTATTCCACTTGCCTCGGGACACTTAGTCAGGAAATATTGATTGGGTGGCTGGAGTGCGCAAGGCACTGTGCAAATGCTGCAAGGACTGCTAAGGCGAGGCAGTCCCTAGTTTCAAGGCATTGCAATCTGGTGTACTCTGGCCATGAGGAAAAAGCTGACATATGGATAATTATAAAACAAAGCACCCTGCTACTTGGTGTGGCCGACCTGGCAGTGTGCCTGATAAGTGGACGTTCTCAGAGAAGCTGGGGTAGGACAATGGGGAATGGGTGTGTGGGTGGGGTGCGTGTGGGAGGGGAATTTTCCAGTTCTCTCACATTGGAATAAAAAGGCTCTGAAGAAATTCGGGTCTTTCATTTTTCTTCTGTGCAGTTAGAAGCACCTGGCTCAAGGATATGTGGGTCAGGGCACACAGCCAGCACCCCCTAAGTCATAATGCAGTCGCTGCTTCCTCTGCGCCCGTCCAGCTTTCGGAGAGAGACTTGGTGTGGAGAAGAGGGAGGGTGTTGAGTACATCGTGTGTATCAGCAGGCACTCCCACTGCCCGCAGATCCCTCGGGCCAATGCTGCCCTCTCTCCTATTACCTCCGGGTCAACTGACCTAAGCAGGGACTCTGCAGTTTATTTCATCCAGATAGCAATGGATATAAAATATGTTAGAAGGAAAGAGAAGAGCGCTTGAGAGTTTTTCCCAGCACTACAAATGCCCCCGGTACTATCCACAGAGAGGTTTCCGCAGGATGACTGACCTCACCGGGATCTCATCCCAGCACTGAAAAGCGGATCTGCCATGAATGAGTCATGTTCTCAAAGTGCATGGGCACCGGAGCAAAATAGAAGATGAAGACAGTATGGACACTCGTATCCTATCTTTCGACCCAGTAATTCCAGGCCCGGTACTTAGTCCTAACTGAGAAGATGATTTTTCAGATGTATATGCTTAGGGCTATCTGTTGCAGGTGGGGGGAGAAAAAGGAAGCAATCTAACAATTGGAAAACAGAAAAATAAATCAGCGCATATCAACTCAACAGACTCATGGCTTTTTGGGCTTTGATGGGCACTCTTTCTTTGCTCTCAGTGTCAAACACTGGCGTTCTTTAATGCTTAGCCCGCATCCCCACTTCCCAACGGTGTCCCGATTTCCACCTGGGTAATCATTTTCCCCGCATAGCACCGAGTCTCGGTAAAAGTCCTGTGCCTGCCTCACACTAGGGAACCAAAGAGACACCTGGAGGCTTCCTCCGCCAAAGCCACCTCAGGCCCCCAGGGGCCGAGGGCGGGGCACGTGACCCGCACTCAGCCAACCAGGCTCTCTTTCCCAGGACTTTGACCCTTGAGCACAGTAAAGCACCAGCGGGAGAAATGAAGTTCACTGCTCCAGCCAAGAGTGTTGAAAGAGATCGGCGGGCCGCCTGGCTGGCGACCCAGCTTTTCTTCCCGGGCTGGTTCTTCAGGCTCCCTCAGCACCCCACATACTTTGAGTGAAATGCCTTCTTACTTAAATCACTGGAATCGGGATTTGTTTTTTTTCCCCTTGCAACCGAAGATTAGTAAATACCTACATTGGTACTGGAAGGCAATGACCTTTCCGGCACACACTGGAGAAACAAGTCACTAACTCAGCATCTTTGATCACTGAGCTCTAAGAGTTGTGCCGCGGTTAATTTAGGGGATGCCCAGAGAATCAGTAAAATGTTATTTCCGACTGGGTCTGGGAGGGTGTTTCTGGAAGAGGCAAGCATTTGACTCAGTAGAAAGGAAAGGCATCCACCGCCATCCATGTGGGTGGGCACCTCCCAATCTAATCCACTGAGGGCACAAAGAGAAGCAAAAGGAAAAAACAAACAAACAAAATGGTGAATGGCTTTGCTCTTCTTGACCTGGGACGTCCACCTCTACCTGCCCTCAGACAACATCGGGGCTCCTGGTTCTCAGGCCTTCAGCCTCAGACTGACTTTGCATCATTGACTTTCCTGGGACTCCAGCTTGCAGACAGCAGACTGTGCAGCTTTGTGGCCTCTATAAAAAAAAAAAAACCACATGGGCCCATTCCTATAATGAATAGACACATGCACCTTTATCCTATTGGCTCTGCTTCTTATGTTTGGAACTGGCCTGCTTCGTACCTGTCGTCCTGGTTATCCCCTCCCTTTTACAACAATCCCTGAATTTTTCCTTTCTAAATAGAGAGTTTCACTGTAAATACTTGCATGGGAAGGATTTTCAAAAACAATATGAAGTGGGTTTGCTGGACCTTGACCCTGTATTCCCAACTCCCGCCAGGGTCTCATCTGGTGGAAACACACAATGGACAGCCCTCAGTCTGACATGCGGATAATCTGAGAGATGGCTAAGGGTAACATCTCATTTTTCTTGACTTTTCCAGGAGCAGTATAACCAATACTTACTTTCAAAATCAGCATGAAGAACGGCTGTTGGTAAAATAAAGCTCTCTGGGGTATGACCAACCAGAGACAGCTTCTTCTTCCAGTAACCACAGAAGCAGTTGACACCCCTACACTTGCTGGCTACTCGGTGTCCCAGCCAGAGCGAATGATCCATGCAGTAACCTGCGAGATGAGTGAAGCTGCCATGCCGCCAGGCAGCAAGGCCTACAGGAAGTGCAGACCATTGTAGGTTGAGTGTAAGATACGCAAGAAAATGAACATTTAGTAGAGCTGCCATAGTGCATATGGAGTAGACTGAACTCCATTGCTATAGTTGTTTTGTCCTTTTTTGTCTTGTATACATCTGCAACTATTTAAAAACTTGATTGTTTGGTAACACTGGTTTATTTGTTTTGTTTTATACAAAAAAAAACCTTTTGTAGGAATGAGCTTTAAGAAAGAGTGCATGTGAAATGAAAAATTATTTTGATTTTCCATTTCTCAAAAAAATTGCTAATGGACTTGGGAAGTGTTTGTCCACATTTACCATTCTCCATGGGGCATCCACAGTGACAAGCCCAACTGCATAAAAATCAGAGGGCCCGACACCACTGGGAAAGTGTCAGCACCTGCAATACTTCAAAATGTAGACGTTGTTAAGAAAACTGAGCCCAAGGTAGCATTGACCACAGCAGGGTGTTTACAAATCTCTGTGATGCATGACTTTTTACTCAGATCATGGCTATCCTTCTAAATTAGTTTTCTTACTTTTTCCAACATTTCTTTGGCATTACATAAAATGAAACATTTATGTTTGCGGTTCCTTATTAGCAAAAAAAAAAAAAAAGAAAAAAGAAAAGAAAAAAAAGAAAGTACTTTTGCAAATAGTTAAATGAAGCCAGTCTTGCATCAGTAAATATATGAATGAAGACAGAGACTTCCAGCGTTTACCCATATCTAGCTCTTCTCTCTTTTTGGCAATGTGGGAGGGATATGCTTGCTACCTCCTGCTGTATTACCTGTTACCAGGTCTCACCAAGTTCTTCTGGCTTCCATGGAAGTGGCGTGGGGCATTCCCAGATGCAGCACTCAATTGCTTGCTGGTGCAAGGCTCTACGGCACTTCTTGCCCGGCCTTAGTAGCCAGGAAGTCCTCCTGCTCCAAATGGTGAAGTGATTAAATGATTGGGCCCTCACTAGCCTGGACCTCTGAAAGACTGGGAGAAGAAGACTCACTCATATGTGAGCTGAGTGAGAAGTAAACACTTGTTGTGTAAGACAAGATCTTGGGGCTGTTTGTTACGGCAGCACATCCTGTCCTAGTCTGACTTGCGTAGAAGAGTTCCAGAGTCTGGAGAAAAGGGAAGAGTATTGCTGATGGGACTGAATAACAGTCAGCAAGAGAAGAGCAATTTTTTAAAAACCCTTAGGTTTTTTTTTTTTTTTAGATTTTTATTTATTTATCTTTAGAGGGGAAAGGAAGGAGAGAGAAAGAAATATCAATGTATGATTGCCTCTCATGTGTCCCCTGCTGGGAACTGGGCTGCAACCCAGGCATGTGCCCTGACTGGGAATCTAACCGCAATCCTTTGGTTCGCAGGCCTGCGTTCAATCCACTGAGCTATACCAGCCAGGGCGAGAAGAGCGATATTTTCAAAAAATCATTTTTTAGTTTTGCTTTGTTTAATGGGTATAGAGTTTCTATTTGAGATGATGGAAAAGTTCTAGAAATAGATGGGGCGATGGTTACATTACATTGCAAATGTAATTAATGCTACTGAATTGTACACTTAAAATGTTAAATTCTACATTATGTCTATTTTATCGCAACAAGAAAATCCCCAAAGAAAAGTGTTTCTACCAAAATATTCCAGTAATAATAAGGTTTGAAAAAATAAGCACTAATTTATTGTTTTTGAGAATATAAATAGGTAGTTCTTTCCAAACGCAATTTTGGTGATACTGATTAAAAGACTTTTGAAATATGAAGCCTTTGATTCATTTATTCCTCTTCTGGGAATCTGACCTAAAATTAAAAAACAATAATTTATAATTTTATATAAAATGATCATAACTCCAGTATGGTTTTTAAAAACTACAAACATGAAATAGTGTAAATGGGACCATGGTGGATTAAGAAATTTAGAGTATATTCACATAATTGAGCACTATGTAGCTATTTAAAATTTTAGTACATAAGAATATTTAATTGGAGAGCTCTTCCAACATACAGTTGACTTCTCAACAATGTGGGGAGAGACAGGGGTGCTGACACTCTGTGTAGTCAAAAATCCCTGGACATCGTTTGAGTCCCCCAAAACGTAAGCACTACAGTTGTCCCTCTGGTATCTGAGGGGAGCTGATTCCAGCACAGATGTCCAAATCTGAGCCTGCTCACACACCCCACATCAAAGACTGCAGGTCAGTGCACACAGCTGGCCCTCCACATCTGCCAACTCCAACCGCAGACGGAAAATCGTATAGGCATTTATTGGAAAAAAAACCCCACAATTCAAACTCTTCTGTTTAAAGGGCCACCTGTAATGTTAAATTAAAAAAAAAAAGATGCAAAGCCTAGGATTTAAGTTGAATAATAAGTTCCTAGAGGTAAGGTTAGCGTGATGACGCTGGTTCTTAATTTACGCTTTCCGTTCATGAAATCATTTTCTATGATCAACCGTGGTTGCATGGTTAACGTTATAAACTCTAAATGTCTCAGATTACAATAAAAACTCATCAAAATAACTAAGTTACTTCTTACCTCCCTCGCATGTAGGTTTCCTCCTACCACCATCCTTTTACCCTTTCCATGGGAAGTTAGCTCAAGTGAGAAGAATGGCATAAAAGAGACTGGTTAGTTCTGCTTTCTCTGTTATCTTTTCAATATTGCATCATCCTTCCCCAGAGTCTTTATGTTTTTATTCTTCCTATGAACATGACCTTAAAAGGATCTTTCTTGGTTTCTTACTACTTCTCACATCTCTAAGCTGACGTTCTGGATTCTGCTTTTCCTGGTATTGTTATTCGAGGGCCATGCTGCTCTCTGGTGTGTGGTAAATGTGTGCATTTACCAGCTGCCTCGGGTCTGGGGCTCTGTAGACTGCCTCTGCGGTCTATCCTTCTTCCCCATTGACCTCACAACTTAAGTTACAGAAACCCTCAAAAGTATGGGAAGACTTTCCAAGGAGCACTGCAGATGGGGAAATGTTCATTTTCAGATCCCGAACTTCCACTTGTCAGTTTTCTTAAAAGTCGTCTGTCTGAAACAAAAACAAACAAAAACCCATTTGCGATTCTCCTACCCAACTCCTCTTCCACGATCACCCTTTTTCCAAGAAAGATGAGAAGGCAGAAAAGCTCACAGCAAGTCCATTGACCCGCATCCTGGCCCAAAACGTAAGAATCCCCAGGATAGCAAAGGTAAAATTGTAAATATTTTTTTCTGGAAGACTTCTGCAATAATTAACCCACCACCATAGTGCTGTTTGTCTTTCCCTGTCTTAGGCACACTTCTGTTAAGGGCAAGGTATAGTCTTAGAATCTATCCTGCTGACATCCTGAATGCATTGCAGGCAGCAGTGATGACAATTCCCCTTTATTGACTTGCCTCTCCCACCCTTACATATAATTAGAGAATGCATGGTCATTTTTTCAAACACATGCAGTTTACTGTGCATCAGTTATAACTCGACAAAACTGAAAACAAACCAAAAAAGGATGTGTGTCCTACCTTCCATACGTATCACGCTGAAGATGCCCTGTCTGCACATCAGGTTGAGCCGAACAGTTTTAGCTACAAAATGCCGTGGCTGGGACCCATCCCTTTGTCTCCTTTAAACCTCCTGCCTTAGATCAGGGGCCACCGCCTCACCCCAGGCCTGCTCCGAGGTCTGCCCCAATTCTCCCCTTATGTATCTTTTCTCGCCCAAAGAACACATGGTTCTTGAGGAAGAGACACGTGAAAGCAAATAATGACGCTGCCTTTACACTGAAAATGACTCTCCTTTTCTCCTTTTTAAACATATGCTTTTTTTTTTTTGGACTCTCCTCAATATTCTTTCCTAGAATGTTCCATCAGCTGGAAAGAAAAGCACCTTTGAACTGATGACTCATGCTGATTCTTTAAAGTATAACTGGGATGTGTAACTACTAGGATTTTTCGAGACTTACTGGAAAAAGCTTATACAGAAAAATTTTATATGACTTATTTAAAAACAAGTTGGTATTATTCAAACAGGAAGTTAAAACTTACATGTATTTTATCAATTCATATCACAAAATAGTTACTGATTTACTGACTTTATGCCTCAGACTCCTCCTCTGTAATATGGGGGTAATAACAGTATTCCTTCGTGGGGCTGATTTGGAGATTAAATGAGTCTACCTATAATCTATGCAAAGCACACCAAAGAGTGTGGGGTGCATAGTAGGTGCTCTTCCTGTTGGTATGACTCCCTTGGAAATCTTACCCAACCTCCTGGCTTCAAATATCATCTATATTCCAATGACTCTCAAATTTGTATTTCCAATGCCTGCTCTCCCCAGAATTCCAGGCTCATATTCAACAGCCTACTCTGCTAGACGTTCCGGTGGGATACCTAACAGACATACCAAACTCACTGTCCCCACAGTCCACTCCTGTTTTCCCTCTCCCCAAACCTGCTCCACCTACGGGTTTGCCCCTGACACTTGATGTCAGTGCCATCCTTCCAGCTGCTCAGGTCCCCAAAACTTGGAGTTAACCTGCATTCCTTTGTTTCTCCCATACTTCACATTCAGTGTGCTTTCCTGCAGAAACGTATCCTGCATCTGGGACCCACTGCTGCCCCCTGCTGTAAGCCGCTGCCATCGCTCTCCTGGATGACTGCAACAGACTCCAAACAGCTCCCCGATTGATTCCACCTGTGCGCCCTATAGTCTTATTTTCAATAGGGCGGCCAGAGAGAGCCTTCTAAAATGAGCAGCAGATCATACAAACGATCTGCTTCAGATCCTTCAATACATCCCCATAATAACACAATACCTTTAATATATAAAAACGAACCATGTGCATGCACATTAATTTTTTAAAAGACAAAAACAGGCATCAAATTGTTGGCAGTGATCATTTTTGAGTGGCAAATTACATGTGATCATTTACAAATATTTGCCTTAGACCCAACAATATTGCTTTTAGGAATTTACCCACAGGAAATAATTAGGGTGCGCCCAAAGATTTAAGTTCAAGAATGCTAGTCACAACAATATGTACAATAGGTAAAAACTGGAAATAGCCTAAGCGTCTAACAATAGGAAAGTAGTTTAATAAAGTATGCTATGGCTAGTTGATAGATTAGCTGACATGGTTGAACCTATTTTTTAAATTAATAATAATGACCTGTTACTGAAAATAAGATGATGACATGGCAAGTATACTAGGAGATTAGCTTTCCAAATTAAAAATATGTGTATGAAAAGAGGAAAAGACAGGAGGGCTAGACACTAAAACATTCACAGCGTAGGAAACATGCACACACAGGTGGCCGTGACCTGGAGCTGAAGAGTGGAGGAGCTGCCCCTTCCCGCAAGTACACCTTTGTGGAGCTCACAAACTCCAAGCAACTGTGCAAGCTCTTGTCGACACTTCCTGCGGCGTTCTGCAGCGGCAGCTGAAGCAACCCCCTCTTCTGTAGGTTGCAAGGACCCTCAGTATAACTACCTAAATAGAAGGATAGCTTAACTCTCAATTTGTTGTAACAAAAGTGATTCATGTGCAGCATGCTTAGCAAGTAGAAAAGAGAAAGAAGAAAAAGTCCTCTTACGCTTTTAGAAATTTAGGCCTTTTAAACCTTTGGCAGATTAGGATGGGTTAAGCTATTTTTGCAATGACTGATAAGAGTTTCCCAAGAACTTCTTATCAGCTTTTAACCTGTTTAAAGAAGTAGTTCCCAGTGCAAGAAGTAAGTTGCTTGGCACGCTCAGTGTCTAATATCCAGTTTTCAGCTCACATTTTTCCTGGTTTTTAAATGTTGAGTTTAAAAGTTAGTTCTTAGAATTTTATGTTTCATATGTTTATGTTACTTACAAAAGGAAGTGGTCAAAAAATAAAAGAATTCTGCATTCACAGGCATCTTTCTGTTGTATTCAGGTCTCAGCAGCCTTTACTTACAGAATACATTGATATGATTAAGTAGTTTAAAAAGTCTTGTCTCTTTATTCTTCAAATAATTATAGCATAGGTACCATTAAAGTTATGGATTCACTTTCACTGAAAAGTAAAACAAAGAAAAAAATAAAAAGCAGAATGCAAAGTCCTAAGCAGCAGAATGAACCACGAGGCTCTCTTAGAAGTGACCTGAAAGCTACCCTCGAGTAAGCAACTAATAAAATTCAACCACAAAAGGTGTCATGTATGTAATAAAACAGACTGACTTCAGCACATTGCTTTATCAGCGGGTCTCAGTATAAGGCAAGCAGGCTGCCCTTAAAAACCCACATATCTAACAATGAGACCATGAAGTGGGAAGGACTTTCCTGCAAAACAAGTGGTGTATTAGAACACTACCACTGTGCCTTTCTGCAACATGAACCAGACTTGACCAAACAACAGTCCCCAGGAAAAGATGGGAACATCTGATTACGTGCTTATGAGAGCATAAACCTTTCTCATTTGTTTGTTTTTCAGACTATATTGGCATTCTCTGAGAACAAACTAAAATTCTCTTGTTTTCTGGGGAGAGAAAAAGGTAGAAATTACTGATGTGCAACATGGGCTTCTTACTAGCATCAAAACGAGGACATCAGCGAAGCCTGGGCTTACCTGGGGTGAGTTTGTGTGATGAGACG